TCTATCTGGACGCCTATGACTTTTAGTTCTCCTGACCGTTTCAATAATAGTAACGACACCAAACTTGGTATGGCATAAATGACTGTAAGTCGAGCATACGTGACAAGTCATAACATGAAAATCATGAAATGTAGGTCATTAATGTCATGATTTACATTTCATGGTTCTGCAGCTCTTGCGGTGGTTTCGTTCACATGGCATGTTGCAAAAGTGGTATGGTATGACATGATTGCAGGGAGAATACAAGCTACAGATCCTAACATGAAAATTATGATATGACATGCGTGTCATGTAACAACATGACTACAAGTCACGCTCATTATGCACTCGCAGCCGTTTCGCTAGCGTCACATATACAAATTCGGTATTACGGTACGTGAATGGATGGCGAAAGTATATGTGACTGGTGCAAACTTAATAATCAGGAGATGCGTTTCATGTAACAACATGGCTACATGCCACGCTCATGATGCGCTGGCAACCATTTCGCTTGCTTTACTTATACCAAATGTGGTATTACGGGACGCGAATGGAAGATGAAGGTACTATACTGGTGCAAACATGATAAACATGAGATGCGTGTCATATAACATGACTACATGCTACGCTCATGATGCGCTCGCAGATGTTTCGCTAGCTTCACATGTACCGAACTCGCTATTACGCGATGCGAACGGATGACATAGATAAATAACACATCCAAACATGATAATCGCGACATGTGTGTCATGTAACGATGTCGCGTTTCACGCCGGTTGCCGTGGCCGTGCCGTCGAATGCTGGTCGCGCCTGGCGTCAGACTGTAGAGTGCTCGCGTCTTGCTAACATAGCATCGCTGTGCCCAGCGTGCGGGCACGTCAACGCTACATTGGAGTATATTGGGCCTTTTATGATGCACTCGCGGCCGTTTTGTTAGCTCCGCATATACCAAATTTGGTGTTACGTGACGTCAATGCATGATGGAATATATTACTGGTGCAAACATAATAATCCTGACCAGCATGTCATGTAAGAACATGACAACGTACCATGCTCATAGAGTGCTCGCGGCCGTTTCGATAGCTCCGCATATACTAAATTTGTTATCACGGGACGTGAATAAATGGCGAATCTAAACAACACATCCTAACATGATAATCATGACACGGAATTCATGTACGACATCATTTACCTCCACCTCGTAAGGTTGTGCTAGTTTTAAAGTGAAATATCAACATTTCTCATTCATGCTTCGCATATAATCGATTCCCACTGTACGTGGGATCTGCCAATTTTTTTTTACCTACAAACCGCCAATATATTAAAACAGTGAAATATTCCATTGCACTGAGACTATGCTAATGAGTTCAGTACCTGGTTTCAGCGTCTGTAGATCATGCTGTCTTGTGACACTAATATAATTATAGGATATCACATGACATTTTTTATAAACACGCTTGAATAAAAGTTTTGCGGTACGTCTTAATACACACATAGTCAGTTATAGTGCTGTAGGCTCGCCTTTTTTCATGATTAATTTTAAAATACAAGTGCACACCGGTGCCAGATGTGCATCTTGAAGTAGGACATATACACAGGGCATCCCACATAACTTGAGCCAAGAATTTGAAAATGTAAAACACTTCAGTGGTGAATTGACCTAAACGCGTACTACTCGCACTAGCCTGTAGGTAATTCTTAATAACCTATTTTCGATTATAGGCCGGAAACCCAAAATATGAACTTTGAGATGTAGAGCACTTTCAGGAACGACCGACTAAATAACTTCCTGTACGATACGTCTAGCGCTGTTATGTTTTCCGCGTTGTATAAAGAAAGCCTGCTAAATGCGAAAAGAATCCGTGTGACGGACCGTGATTGAGCGCACTACTAGATATATGTGCTGTTGTAGGCCTTTTCGCCTTGTGCGTGGTATACACAATCGGTGATAACTATTTGTTATATTCTAATACCCAAGCGACGGCCTTGTCCGTTATTAGTATGAACTACTTCGTGATGTAGCTCTCATTGAACAAACAATACTGGTACAAACTGCAGTTGCATTGGCCGGGGGGTGCATGAAGGCGGAGCTTGTCCCATTCCGAGTCGCACCAGCATCTGCCCCTCAAGACTCCTCCTACTGCGATACAACACGGGCTTGCGCCCAACTGATGCCCATAACTGCAATCCAAGCTCAATTATCTCAAATTTGGTAATTTGATTCTTCTTCACGTTTTCAGTAGATGCCATGAACGGTCGATTGACAGCCGAAGCAGCAATTTAAACAACTGCTCTGCAGTAATTATCACATGTGCTGTTTGAGAATGCCGGAGTTGCAGAAATCAGTGGTTTTCACACATCTCCTCGTGTTCACAGCCACTACCTTTGCACTACGAAAAATCTGAAGAAAAAGGGCAAGCGTGCCCTTTTCTTTAGAATTGTTGTGAAAGCTAACGTCCTTTTCATGGGCGGACGAAACACACTGAGCAGTACTTCACCATCGCGCAGAGCTCGATTGCCCCGAGGACGTTGCGTGGCGGGTTCGCAAGTCCACATGTTTGCAGGACTAGAACCGTGACGGTGATGCGATCTCCATTGACGGCACCGGCTGCGCACATTCAACAACATGGCTTGCGTCGTACACCACCACACCGTCGATGAGACACTGCGACGTTTCGCTAGCTGTATCTACATCCTTAAAAATGCTGGAGACAGGCACCCTTATCAAAATTTCAAAAGAAACACCCGAAGTATTTAGTATTGTACAGCGGAAACTGCAGATGACGAGCGAGAACACTCGCACATAGTTTCCCTTTCATACTGCAGTAATGTGGTCGGTGGCATCGGCGTACTCATCGGCGATCTGGGATCTTTCTTGGCCCTGTCGTTCAGGACTGCAATTACAAACAAATTCATAATTGAACTCTACAACATTCCTTGTGGGCGTTACTTGACCCTCGCGAGGCTGTGAGTTCGGCAAAGTTACCGCCATAAGCAAATAATGCCAGCATAGGTGCTCGCTGCTGCAGTGTGGCCGGGAGCAGAGTCCACAAACTAACGTCACGCGCGCAAAGATACCATTCAAAATCTCGAGGCCAATACGAAAACCACTAACATCATCTAGTTATATTATTTCCAAGGACATTCACACAACGCCACTCGGTGAAAAATTCTTAAATCTAACTAGAAATGGCTACTACAGCGTACCACGAGGGAACTACCTCACCCTTAGAAACTTCGCCCCTAACATACCTACAAGGGAGCGTGCCTAGCGTCCGACAAGTCAACTTCATCAGATGCCGCTCCCTACTCGTGCTTCATGCTTATGTCCCAGCATGCCCCAGTTTTACTTGGTGTGAAGCTTCTTAAGCCGTGGGTCTGTACATGCATGTCTCTCTTGGTACTTGGTCGCCTAAATCTATGACTCACTCAGCAGGGACAGACAGACAGACAGACAGACAGACAGACAGACAGACAGACAGACAGACAGACAGACAGACAGACAGACAGACAGACAGACAGACAGACAGACAGACAGACAGACAGACAGACAGACCGATGGGCAGACGAATGGGCATACGGACTGGACGGATGGATGGATGGATGGATGGGCAGACAGATAGGCAGGAAGGCAGGCAGACAGACAGACAGGCAGGCAGGCGGAAGAACGGACGAAGGATTCAATAACACGGTTTACCGATAAAACCTTCCAAAGCTTCACCCCCTCATCATCATTCACTCTGTTGGTATGCTGTAATTTTTTATGGCTGGGATTTAAAACATTTTTGTTACACCACCTCTTCCTTTTTCCCCTCCCCATGTTTAGTACGATGTGCGCCAATCGCATCTTGGTGTCTAGTCTACAATACATAAATACATTCTTGCAGTGCCAGCAAACTTTTGAACACAAAAGCTACCTTTTCGCAACAATGTTTCGAAAAGACATCAGAGAGCTCTCACGGTTTAAATCATTTGAACTACGTGTAGATAGCTCCTAAGATACTTTTGTATACTTGACCAAATCGTGCGCGCGTGTTCCGGCGTGGATGACGCCGTTACTGTGAGGTGCACCCATAAGAAAATGGAGCTGAAAGAGGAACTACATTTAAAAACATAATGCGGGACCCTTACAACAGCTACCAATGTGGTTTTGTTGTAACTGCAGCTCTCCTTATTTTTCTGCATCGCTTTTGTCGTCATGTCCAGTACACTGGTCACCGGATCCAAAGGGTTATAGCTCGCTTGCTTTGTAGATGAAACATCTTTTCAAATGAAAGTTACACTACATGAGAGACGCCGGCAGAACACGTCGGTAATAATATCTGGCGTTTTACGTACCAGAACGACGATATACGAGAGATGCTGTAGTGGAGAGCTCCGGAAAGTTCCATCATCACATGTTCTTTATCGAGTATTGACACTACACAGTACGCGGACAAAACTCAGCAATGCAACTAGGTCCCAAACAACCTCGATTAGTATTATGACCTCATCGTTCCTTTCTTGACATGAGGGTGTACATTCTCGTCATCGTACAAATCAACTGGCTCCTGTACTATATGAGGTTCCCCGTTAAAAAGCAGCTAGTTTCGCGTCATACGCGATGCTTCTATTTTGCAGAAACATGCGTATTTTTGGGCGTATGCTGTTACACGATCTGGAGAGGCTTCCACGGGGACTCAGAATGTCTATATATATATATATATATATATATATATATATATATATATATATATATATATATATATATATATATATATATATATATATATATATATGTGTGTGTGTGTGTGTGTGTGTGTGTGTGTGTGTGTGTGTGACATCGAAATACGCAAAGCAAATACACATATTAGCTCCAATGTTTGGTCACACAAAGTAAAGACTGGGTTTAAGCTTACTTAGCTCTGAAATGTGCCCTTATATCCGACACGCTCCACCTAGCTCATACAGAGCAAGGTACGAGCCTCGTCCTTCTTTCTGCGTCGGTAATGTCACCACTCAGTAGGGAATGGAAAGCTGACCTTCTCGTCGCGGGAGTCGATGGAGGCGACCTCAAGCCCGTGACAGTCGTCCATCTCGTGACCCTCCACCTTAGTGCGCTGGAGCTCGGTAAGCGTGAACTTGAGAAGTGCATCCGGCTCCTCGGGATCGATGGCGCGCAATCGGGGTGCGGCGCCGGCCACCACATAGGCCACCGCCACTACGAACAGCAGTCGCTCCATGGATGCCGGGATCAGGGAGGCTGAGCCATCATCGACCGGTCCTCCTCTCTCTTTCCCAGCTGAGTGCGCCCTCTTCAATTGCTCCGTACTTGCTCTTCGTGCTCTTCGTTCTGCCACTTGCACCACGTGTTATTGGGCTACAGGAATATGAGCGTTGTGGTAACAGGCGAAGTCGCTTGTCTTTTTATGATTGTTTGCGTGAATATTTTATAACCACGACTTGAAGTGCTTTCTAGCATTTTGCCTAACTACTGGGCTATAACTTTTCTTATCTTGCCATGGATCAGATCTAGGCTGTAGTGTATGTAAATAAGCAAATAAATGAATAAGTAAGTAAACTACAGCCGGCCATGCAGCATCTGAACGCGCCTTGTTGTGATATATCAAATGCTGAATCAGTAACAGTTTGCCTAAACATGGTTCGTGTATTAGCATAACCGTGTAGTAAAAGTTATTCATAGGGCTCTCATTCAAAGAGTATGAGTAAATACCAAGGAAAGTATATAACAAAGGTAAATCTTCTGGTTTATTAAAAGCTGCGCAGATAATATTTGCCATGAGTCGTTACCGATTTGGCCCCAACACTGATTGGTCAAGTTGCATGAAGGCGTGACGTGTTGCTACCTGACCGCCATGCTGCTTGCTTTGCCCAACTGAACTTCTTTCAGACAGAACAAACCACGTGGAGATGAAGAATTTCTAAGGACGCATTTTGCGCTTAAAATGTTTCCTCTTGCGCACACGTTGATAATATCCTTGTACAGAGGTGCAACCAGGGCAGTCGAAGACACATCTGTACTATTTTAGGTGATCTCTGGGATGATCTTGTATACGTGTCGAGATACGTATGGCAAGACGAGTACCTGTATTGTTATTTTTGATACATTCAAGCAATTAACGCGATAGCAACAAATTGGATGGTCACGGGAAGAATGGCAAACAGATGGAAACGCGTCGCGCGTTTCTAACGCACAAATGACGCACGAAACCTACTTACAAGTACAGATGAACGTGAAGAAGCGTTTCAGTTGTAACTTCGCTGTGTCTGAAAAGTGCACCCATTTTCGCAAATGGAGATTGTGCAGCAAGTGCAGTTATCTTTGTGGGCTCAGTAACTACAACAGAATCGTCTCAGTGAAAGCCCAAGGCGTACAATTTTCCCCACCACAAGATAAGCGCAAGCACGCATGAGCATCCGCCCCGCGCCCCTTTCCGTGGGGCAAAGTACGCGTAGGAGAAAGAAAACGCAAGCCGCCGCGTCGTGACGATCTCGTGACGCGCGCTCATTGCGCCATCTCGCTGGTAATGCTGAAAAAATGATAGCTATCCCAAAATGGCCTTCATCAGTGGTAAGTGATAGATATAAAAAGCTTGCCGTTTCAGGTCCATATAGTTTGTAATAATTCCTCATGTTTTGTCAATAAAATTGAATTTCATTCTATCGAAGGTGCTCCTTCGTGGCTCAGTGGCTTACGCCTCGCACTCACAAGCCAGAGGTCGGACGTGCAATTACGCGCGCCGGAGTATTTTTCTGGATCATTTCTTTTCTTGAGTTTTGATATATATAGATACGTATATATACACATGCGGTGAATTACGGTGATGCCGGCGGCAATATTGAGCCGAGAATGTCCATATTTTTGTTATCGCAATAAAACGCATCGTGTATCTTAAGACACAAGATAATGCTGCCGCAACATCATTTGCGAAACCACAATCGTTGAATGAACTCCACCTGTGAAGCCGATACTACTGCCTCTGAGTCACCTGAATCAGAGTAAGGGCAGCGTTTACCTTTCCGCCATAGTGCACCTGTGGGCGATGCGGTGTGCCGGTCTGTTTTGGTATCGTGACCTAGATCGGGGCAGTGGGACGAGAGAGGTCCCGCCGGTGAGGCCGTTAGCACGAAAACCACCACGCGCCGCAGTGGCGCCTGTTTGGCATACCTGCGGTGTTGCGACGCCAGAGGTATGTTAAACAGAGGGGTGAGCCGGAAGATGATGTCAAAAGAAAATGGGATAATTTTTTGCGCTGCAGAAGGGAAGCGTCCTATCTAATCAGTGAAAAGATTGAAAGAAAGGGGGCCCAATGAATGGCGGTAGTAAACAAAAGGATGGAAAGGCAGCTGCAATGTTTTGGAACCACCTAGATTTTCTGAGTATTAGGACAAGCATGGAACAGAGGTTTATAACTACAGTTCAAGGAGCTAGACTAAAAGGGGATGAGGCAACGGAACATATAAAAACAATGATGACAGAAAAACTTAAGCACCAAGAAAGCGCTGCATGCATTGTACCAGATGAGAATTGACCAATTAGCGCAGTGGCTCTACGAGGGCAACGAGATTGGGAAAGGGCAGAGAAGAGGGTTCTTAATAGCACATCCACATGCCCTGACGGCATCCGAATTATGCTATTGAAAAACTAAGACCAAACTCTAAGCAAACATGAAGAGAGGCAGCGAGCAAAGCAACAATAAATGGTGAAGCTCCCAATAGGTGGAAACTAAGCAGTATGATCATGATCTATAAAGGAAAGGGTGACAAAGCCGATATAAACAACTACCGTCCTAAAACAGTGACATCTGTAGTTTACAGGCTGGGGATGCAGATAGTAAAGGAAAAACTACACACATGAGTGGAGAATGAGGGGTGCTCGGGAGAACTACAAAATGGGTTCCATAAACGAAGAAGGTTGGAGGACAAGCTGTTTTCATTGATGCAGTGTATTGAAATAGCGGGAAAAGAACACAGGCCTCTGTGGGTGACATTTCTAGACAAAAAGAAGCTTACAATAGTGTTATTCAAGACGACTTGTGGGGAATACTGCACACACTAGATGGGGAAGATGTAATAACTAATCTTCTAAAGGACTATCTATAAAATGAACAAGGTAGTTATGAAATGGGAAGCACAGGTATCTTGACCTACAGAGATACAACGCGGGCTTCGGCATGGATGGCCCTTGTCACCTTTGTTCTTTATGCTGTATCTCCAGGGACTAGAAGCAAAATTGGAGGGGAGTCGACTCGGATTCAGCCTCCCTTTTGCCAATCAAGGAAACACAATGAACAGTCCTTACCAGCATTGATATATGCCGATGATATAGTATTAATAGCTGACAACAAGGAAGATCTGCAGGGATTGATAGACATCTGTGGCAATGAGGCAGATAGGTTAAATTTGAAAATCGACAATCTTGATTTTTTAATGATAACAAAGGCAGTGAGCATAACATGCAGGAAGTCGCACTAGAAATAGTGGATAAATACAAATACTTGGATGTATGGATAAATAATGGGGCTGAGTATCTAAGAGAGTTCGAAAGATACGTAATGACTAAGGGCACCGGGAATCCAGCTGCTATGAAAAATAGGGCACTGTGAAACTACAATAGGTATGACGTCGTGAGAGGGATTTGAAAAGGTCATGGTCCCGGGTTTGACGTTCGACAATGCGGTCTTGTGCATGAAATCAGAAGTTCAAGCAAGATTGGAAATTAAACAACGTGGCATAGGTACACTTGCTTCGGGAGCACATAGAAATACCCCAAATCAGGGGGTACATGGAGACATGGGATGGACATCGTTTGAGTGCAGGGAAGGTAGCAGGAAGACAGAATTTGAGGAGTGGTTGAGAAATTTGGGAGAGAAGCCTTGGGCTAGGAAAGTTTTCAGCTACTTCTACATAAATAATGTTGATACTAAATGAAGCAAGCGAACTCAAAAACTGTCAAGCAGGTATTTAGACAAGAGCAGAATACCAAGCCAAAAGGAAAGATCGGTTAAGAAGAATGTGAAAGAAACAGAGATGAACCTGTGGAAGATGGGAATGCTTACAAAATCATCTCTGGATATACCGAAAGTTCAAGCAGGAAATTACGAAAGAAAAGATTTACGATATTTCTCGGGGTAGTTCACTGCTGTTCGAGGCCAGAAAGGAAGTATTGCGGACCAAGACGCACCGAACCAAATACGAAGACACAGACACGTTATGTAGTGCGTGTGGAAAGGAGGAGGAAACGGCTGAACATTTGATAAAGTTCTGTAAAGGGCTCCATCCTTTAGTCCAAAATAATGGCGCGCAACTTTTGAAAGCATTGGGGTTTAGGGACAGGGAAGGCAAAATAGACTTTAAACAAGTAGAAATAACCAAGAAGAGGCTAACTGATTCGTGGCTACAATCAAGGCGCGAGTGAACCTTTGAACACATAGCGATAGAACTTAACTTCATGGCGAGGTTGCGTGAACCACCGCCCGATCTAAAGGGCACAGCCGGATACATCTATCCATCCATTGATCCTGAAGCTCGCCGCAGTGGCCGTTTGTTCGCCGCACTTTCAAATGACGAGTGTGATATGTTTAACGTTGATGGTAAACTCCTGATTGCCTAGATTGTACTCGGAGTCAGCAATAAAAGAATAAATAGTTTTGTCTTTGAAGCTCCAAGACATGAGATTTTAGGGTTGAACCTGTCAGTATTAAAGTTTTTGGAACTGCACGTGACTACTAAGACAGAACCGATGTGGCCTTGAACAGCCAAAGCCGTGCACGGAAAAACAAGAGAGTGACAGATATATAAACATCTGAAGGAATGCATGAAACCATTTTAATAAACACAAAGGCACTAATAAAAAACTGTACGTGCAAACACAAACCCGGGCTTCGAGGTCGTCCGGCTGAGCTTAATATGCTTTGCTCTCTGTCGTAGCGCAGATACGTAAAGACACAGACGAAATTATTCTCGTGTTTGTTTCTTCGTTGTCAGTGTTGCGTCAAGCACCAGTGAAGAAGAGGAAGTTCTTCACAAAAGTCACAATGTCACATATGCTGTTCGCAGCTGCAAGACAATAAAGCATTCTGCATATTGCCACCTCTTTCTAGTAGTGGGTCGTATGCCAAGGTGAAGGCACACACCACAGAGAAGAAAGAAGTGCACGTGGGCCCTCGCTCTGGCAAACAAGCCCAACCGACGCGCTTGGTTAGAGCCCTGTTGCTCAGACGTCAGTAAATCTTGTCGACACCCCCTGGA